TCTACCTCTGCCTAGTTATATGGATGTTCTCCATGTGACAACCTCAAGGACCCTCATTTTCCCATCTGCAAAAATTCCCTCTCAAGAAAGGACCCCAGAAATAAATCTTCATTCCTGTCACTTTATTTCCGTCTCTAGCTATATGAACTGTCTTGGCAACTCTAAACACCTTGTACAGTAATAAAATTGAACATTTTAGCTACGTCTAGTGAAATCGATAAAAAAATTATAACCAGCTTCCTATGTCTTCAACACCATCTAAGACTGTGAGGAATTTAAGGAGGTGTTAAGGAAACCAAATGTTGACCTAATAGTGGTTCAAATGCTTATTATTAGTTTAGTGACATATTTCTCTTTGGAAGGAAAAACTAGATGATAATATTTTCTTCTTAGGTCCCAGTCTTAGATGTTGAGTCTCCATAATAAATCACCCCTTAAATAAATAAAATGTAAAATTCTCTAAGGCAGAGTTTGACAACCATTTACTGTAAGGGCCAGATAGTAAATATTTTAGGCATTGCAGACCATATGGTCCCTGTCACAGCTACTCTACTCTGCTGTTGTAGCACAATCATACTTGAATGGATGAGTGTGTGCCAATCAAACTTTATTTACACAAACAGGCAGTAAGGTACCTTTGGCCTATAGATCATCACTTGCCAACTCCTGATTAAGGCATGAATGAATGAAGATGACAGTCACCATAAATGATTCACAAAATCACAAGTTATGAGTGAGGGACAGGTTTCAGGTGATTCTTACATGATGATTCTGGAATTATTAAGGCTTTTTGGTTAATAATGAATGATGTCATGTTTTTTATTGATTGTGGGAGTGGGCTGCATGCGTTCTCTTAGCTCAATATATTTGACTCAGGAATGAACTGGCCTTTGAAGTAGATTTGGGTTCTGTAAGTTGACTGTCAGTGAACCCATCCTGGCTTCCTGCTCTTGGTGCAGAGAAAGGATCACTTAGAGGAATCAGAAAGCCTGAGACAATGGGGGAAATATTATAGCAATAACTGCCATTTATTGACCTGCCCTCTCCATCACCAACTATGACCCCTAGTATCCCATTTTACAGAATAAGTGAGAGAGGACAAGTAAGTACCATGATCAGACAGTCAGGGTCTGAGCCAGCCGAATTGCTTTCCCCGTGGCCACAACACTTCCCTCCACAAAAGTAACCAGCTTTCACTGGGACACTCACATTTCTTCTGATTTAGAACCAGACCTTGCAGGATGGGGGGTAGGGGGATGGAATCACCTCTTCTTCCTTCTGGCTTTACTTTCCAGTGGCTGTTATGTTTAAACACAAACAATAAATGTCTCCTAAGTTACCCCTTACCATGCACCAAGTATAAAGCTTTTAGTATGTTATAAAATCTATCTTCTTTCCATTTCCAGAACTGCAGAGACAAGAAAATGAAAACTCAAACAATTAAGCAATTTGTGCAAAGTTACACCTATAGTGAATTGTGGAGTCAGAATTTGAACATAGTTTTCACCAACTCCAACTGCGTACAACTGCGGTAGAGCTTAGTGGAAATTGTCAGGCTCTCCAGCCAGACAAGGTTCAGATCTCACACTTGCTACTTACTAGTTGCATCACCTTGGACAAATTGACATGTGTGTTAGTTTCTTGATTTGTCAAATTTAGGATGATGATAATAATTTCCTTCTCACAGATTAATGTAAGGAATAAAGCAGTAACATGCACGTAATAAACAGCACATGCATTGGCTTTTTCCACAGACTACAAGCTCTATGAGCACAAGAGTATGTTTTGTTCACTCTTGTATTCCTAGCACTTAGAATAACGTCTAGCACATAGTAGGCAATATTGTTGCATGAATGAAAAATGTTCAAACTAGTCTTTAGATTAGGTTGTGACTGTGCTCAAAGCCAGAATGAATAAACAAGGCTCTCCTTTTTCTTTCCTTTCTATGGTATACCATGAATTTGATAGGTAAAATTTAATATCTTTGAGATCATAATTTCAGGTGTAATAATGGAAACTAGTGATTGTCTTAGTTATTTCAATGTTCCTAACAAAAGTGGATGTTAGTGCAAAGGCTCATAGCACACACATAATTTCAGAGATACTCTCCTACTTCATTGCTGCTCCTAAAGGAGCTTTCTTATGTAGTGCATTTTAAAATTCCTTTTATCCTTTTAAAAAAAATCTAATCTGTCATTAGCACATCGATTTTATCTCTGAAAATTTATCTTTACTAAGCCTATATTATATTTAATACTGTGTATTCTAAATCCAGGCCAGGATTTAGTGGCAACTGCTGCCAGGAGCCCCTGTAATGAATGAATTATGGTCCCATTTAGCAGGTGAGACTGTGTTTGATGTCTACACTTCAGTAGTGATGGGGGCTCCAGAGAGCAACAATGCCTCCAGAGAAAAAGGCAGCCTCATCCCCCAGTTTGAACAAGCACAAAGAGGAGCATACCCAGGAAATATGGAAGTGCCTTTGGAGCAAACAGCTCTTGCAGGATTTATGTGCAGCTTTCACAGAGACTAAGCTCCCTATATTCCCCAAAACACCACCTAGACAATGTTGCACCTTGGCAGCAAACCATTTTTAAGGCTTTATTGGATTTACGGTAATATTCATCCTGAGTGGTGATTAACTGATACCCTAACACATAGCAAAGCACCGGGGTTCTAATCTTTCTCCCTGGCTTGCACTGTGTAAATTATTATTTTCATTAAGATTAAGCATCTCACAAAATTACACAGCAGTTAACTTATGCAACTACCTCCTTAGAATGCTCTATCTTTGAAAATATGCCTACCAAAGAATCCTTTAAGATCTCATAGCACATCCTACGTAATTGGAGGCCCAAACGAAGCATTGTTTTTGTTAGTTTTAATGCAGAATCCTCTACGTGTTTTCTATAAAACAAAGTAAATAAGTTTTTCCCTTAAAGTTTCTTCTGCTTGCAGTCAGAATGATTTGCAGACTTATTAGCCTGATTTGTATTTTTCTTCAAGTCAATTAGAATTAAATATGTAACACATTTTGGAAAAATTTGTGAATGAAAGATCTGCTCCATTTTAAAATATCTGTACCTTTGATTATCTCGTACACTAAACTATAAATTAAACTGTAAGCTGAAAAGTCAAGGATGCTGTGAAGTTGAGGGGCATCTGGGTGGCTTAGTCAGTTGAGAGTCCAAATCTTGATTTCAGCTCAGGTCATGATCTCAGGGTCCTGGGATTAAGCCCCACGTCAGGCTCCCTGCTCAGCGGGGAGTCTGCTTGGGATTCTCTATTTCCCTCTCCCTCTGCCCCTCCCGCCCCTGCTCCCATGCTCACTCGCTCTCTAATAAATAAACAAATCTTAAAAAAAAAAAAAGAATGCTGTGAAGTTGACTTGAGATACATATATCTCTCCATACATATATGGAGAGAGAGATATGTAGATATACATATATAGAGAGAGAGAGAGACTTAAGATTTTTATATATAGTTAGATTTATATATATATATATATATATATATACACACACACATATATATATAGAGAGAGATGTAGAGAGAGAGAGAGAAAAAGAGAGAGATACTGTGAAGACTATTTTTCAGGAACCCATTGGTAAAATTTAGTTTTGAGGTTAACACCATGAATTAAGAATTTGGTCTACTCACTGATATGAGGAATTCTTAATCTCAGGAAACAAACTGAGGGTTGCTGGAGTGGGGGGTGGGGTGGGAGGGATGGGGTCGCTGGGTGATAGACATTGGAGAGGGTATGTGCTATGGTGAGCTCTGTGAATTGTGCAAGACTGTTGAATCTCAGATCTGTACCTCTGAAACAAATAATGCAATATATGTTAAGAAAAAAAAAAGAAGATAGCAGGAGGGGAAGAATGAAGGGGGGGGAATCAGAGGGGGAGACTAACCATGAGAGACGATGGTCTCTGAAAAACAAACTGAAGGTTCTAGAGGGAAGGGGGGTGGGAGGATGGGTTAGCCTGGTGATGGGTATTAAAGAGGGCACATTCTGCATGGAGCACCGGGTGTTATGCACAAACAATGAATCATGGAACACTACATCAAAAACTAATGATGTAATGTATGGTGATTAACATAACAATAAAAATTTTTTAAAAAAAGAATTTGGTCTAAAATGACTGCAATAAAGACAAATAAAATGTAGCCTGAGATAACTTATACATAAAATGTTCTAAGCCTGGAAATATGGTAAAATTCCCTGTTGCTTAATCTTCTATTGAAATAATAGCTAAAATTTGCTATGCATGAAAAATTATAGGCAAAGCATCTTACATGTGTTATTTTATTTCCTCCTCAGGTAATATTATTATCCTCATTTACTGATGAAGAAAAAGAGAAAGAAATAGGGATTTGTAAAGGTCAAGTAATTTGCCAGAAGTTGCCAGGGTAAGGGAGGAGCAGAGCCAAGATTCAAATCTAGAGAACTTGCCTCTGGAGCCTGAATTCTTACCCAAGTTATAAGCCTAAATCCCTGATGAGACTGGCAATAAACACGTGTTTCAGTTGAATATGAAAATGGTCACATGTACAACCTATAAATACAATCCTAATATAGGTAATATAACAAGTAGTATTCAGAATAAGCAAAAACACATTTGCCTATCCCCTAAAAGAGCAATTCTAACTTTTAGAGAGCAGAATTTTAGGGAATGATAACTTCACAGTACCCTATAAGCTCCATTTTGTTTTTGCATCCCAGATTATGATTTCTACATCTTATTTGAATTCATTAACTAACCAATGAACATTCCTGTATTGTTATTCTTTCTTTTTTAATCTAGACATGACAAATCTGAACTTCAAAGAAAAAAATCAACTAATGTCACGTAGCAACATGGTAGCAGAAATGAAATTCAAACCCAAGTCTTAACGATTTCAGGTCTAATTAATTATTTTAACCTTCAGCTACAAGATGACAGAGTGAGAACAAAAATGGTTTGTGAAATCAGCTCGACACTTCTTTCTTCTCAAAGGTCGCTACCCTCAGGAGAACAAGGGAACCTACATTCCAGTTCCTGTTGTCCCGGAGCTGCAGAGAGGCAAGTGGGGGGCCAAAGTTGTCAGGAGAGAGGACAGGTCTGTCCGGCTATCCATCCAGTCTTCTCCAGAGTGCATTGTGGGGAAATTCCGTATGTATGTTGCTGTCTGGACCCCCTATGGCATACTCCGCACCAGCCGAAACCCAGAAACGGACACATACATTCTCTTCAATCCTTGGTGTGAAGGTAAGAAGCAAACATTTTTCTCATTAAAAAAAAAAAAAAGTTCATATTTTTCTAATGCATCTCTTTTTGGAGGGATAGCATAATTACTCTAGAAGATATGTCCCTTTCCTATATACACTGTTTCCCATGGTTAAAAGACAGAAAAAAAAATATGAAATTTGTCCTTAATGTATATGAGGACAAAGCCTGTGGATATTAAGTTAATGCTGCTATACAATTCATTCCAGGAAATAATGGACGAATGCCTGAAGTTGCACAATTAGTTAATTGTGGAGCTAGGTGTTAAGGGTGTCACTTCTGTGTATGTTATTACTCTGTAAACAAAATGGGCTTTCAAGACTTTTAGGTTCTATAATCTGGTTTCAAAAAAATAGGATAAAGTTGATCCTATCCTCCCTAATTCAAGAACAGAAAGCCTGGATGTTGAAAGAATCCCATAAATTTGTGTATATGCCGAGTGGGTGCAATAAGCCGTAACTCTGGATGTACAAACATGTAACTTTAGTTTAACATAATAAAACTTAATCTCTACTGCTATTTTGAGTCTTCCTTTCTGTCTGTTACAGAAGCTTAATCTATTTATATTCAAATAAAATAGGTCAAGTCCTAGGATTTCTCTCAATTCAATTTAAAAACTTAGTCACACACAGTATTTTTCCCTCATCCCCATCTCTGCCCTTCTTTATCGGCCCACTGCTTCCATACTTGGTATGGAGCTGATTTTCAGTTCCAGAGGCAGAAGCAAACATTGCAACAGCATTAATGGAAGAGGGTGCACTTTTAGATCTTAAAAAATAAGGTAATGAAACTTATAAAAGCTGACATAGGACAGAAGATGTCTCACAGCATCTTACTTCCTGTGTATTGCTCTCCACTCTCTTCCAAAATGAGCCTATATTTTTTTGCTGATTTTGAATGTCCATTCCTCGTGAGAGTTGCATCTGAATCAGGATTGAGCTGCACTTACATGTTGATAATAAGTGAACAACAATGTTGTCTACTCATATATAACATAGACCTGGATCCTACTGACCTTTTCTTTGAATTATCAGTTCCAGTGGTGTTGGCAGATGGCACTGAGCTAATCCTATACTCCCCACTCACCACCCCATCATCTTGTACCTGATAATCCTATCTCTGAGACAGATGTCCAAGGTTGATGGTAATAGGAGATGTTAATGGGGCCATGTGCTATTCAAAGGTGCACTCCTGTGTACAATAATCTTGTCAACCAGATATAAAGCATTCTGTGACTGAGGCGATGTGGTGCTATTTACAGAGGTGGGAAAGACTGAAGGGAATGAAGATGTAGAGACACACTATGATTTTAAAAATGTTAAGTTGGAGATAACTGTGGATACCTAAGCAGAAATGACAATTAGGTATTCTGCTCTGTGAATCTGAAGACGAGAATCAGGGTTGTAAACTTGGGAGTCATCTGCACCTAGGTAGAAAATATAGAGAGGAAAGAAGATATAGGATCAAGCCCTAAGGAACACCAGCATTTGGAGGTCTAATAGAGAAAGAATTAGCAAAGGAATGAAACAGAGGAGTGCTTAGGACATGGCCTATTGTAAAAAAATTGTATTTTAAAAATTCATATTTATAAAATAAATAAACTAGGAATTCTTTATTGACTTTCTTTGCATTACAAAAAGAAAATCATATAATTTCATGTAACTATCCAGCACGCTAAGGGATTTATAAAATGATATGGTTTACCCCAAATTTGGTATAATCCCAAAAAAGGATTATATCACATATCATGGGGTACGTGTCTACATGCATTTCAACTTATGTTTCCAGTTTTCCAGAGGTAAAAATGATTAGTGATGTTGCCTGACATTGAGTTCATAGGAGAATCATTCAGGAGGTGAATAGTCTTTCTACTACCTGATCCCTGCCTTGGTCTTCAGTTGTATCCATTGAGCAGCTTGCAGGTTTCCCTGTTCAGAAGGAGTCGCCTAGTGTAGAGAAAACATGGCCCTGGCACTCGATGCTGCATTACAGAAAAGGAGCAGAGGGCCCTCCCCTAAGTATCACTGAATGGACAAAGGTGAGAATAAAACTAGATAGATCAGTTTGGAAGCTGTGGCCCAGGACAAAGAAGATGGACAGGACTATGGTGGTGGCAGTGGAGATGAGGAGGAGGGGATGAATTGGAGATCTACTTTGGATTTAGAACAGATATTGCAGAGGGGTTGATCATGGGAGGTGAAGAAGAGGGAAGAGTCAAGAATAACTCTAGATAGCTGGTATCTGACCAACTAGGTTGGTGGTGGTGCCATTTTCAGAGCTAGGAAGACTGGGGGAAGTGGAGGAGAAGATCTAGGAGTGGAACTAAGAATTACATTTAGAAATGTTAATTTGGTGATATCTGTAGGATCTCCAAGTGAAAATATCAAGTAGCCCCTTGAATCAGTGAATCTATAGCTCCAAAGAGATGGCTGAGCTTGGGATGTAAATACGGGCACCTTCAGGAGCTAGCAGGGAAGTTTAAAGAAAGAACAAACATGGATTTAGTATCATCAACAATTAGAGTCTAGACAAAGGAGAAGGAGACAGAGAAGGAGTTAAAGGAAATCAGAAGACCATGGTGTCACAGAGCTGGATAATTGATTGATTCAAGAAGACAGCAACTTGTTCTTTGGAATGCTGCTGATGAGTTAAATAGGATAGGGAAAGAAAGTGGCCATAAACTGTGGAAATATGGAAGTCACTGGGGAACTTGGAAAGATTGCTTTACCACAGTGATGGAGACAGAAGCCAGAGATATGGGCGTGGGCTCCAGCGTAATGGGAAGTAAGAACGTGGAGATAACAGCTATTGCCATCTTCTGCAAGAAGACTTTCTGCAAAACAGAGATGGTGATAAGAAGGGCAAGGAATTTTTTAAAGACAGACTAGAGTAGGCATAATTTTATGGAGATGGAGACAAATCAGGAAAAGATGAGTTTACTTCCCAGAGAGAGGGTAGTGATCCACAGCCTTGGCTGCACATTAGATTCACCCAAGGTATTAACTACTTATGTCTCAGACATTCTGGTCGATCTGGTGTGTAGCCTGGGCTTTAGGGTTTGTCTGTTTTGTTTTCTTTTTTAGAGAGAGAGAGAGAGCGTGAGCGGGGGGAGGGGGAGGGGCAGATGGAGAGGTAGAGAGAGAATCTGAAGCAGGCTCCACATCTAGTGCAGAACCAGACACGGAGCTCGAGCTCACCACCCTGAGATCATGACCTGAGCCGAAATCTAGAGTCAGACTCAACTGACTGAGCCACCCAGGCGCCCTTGGGCTTTGGGGTTTTTAAAAAGGTCTGCAGGTGATTTTTAAAGCCAAGGTTGAGAAGAACTGACTTAGGGAGTGAAATCCTTGAGTGGGTGGAATTCAGGAAACAGGTGAAGAGCCCTTGATAGGTGGGGCTGTCCACCTTCCACTGTGACAAGAGCAACATGGAAGATGGGTGAAGTGTGCAGCTTTTCTAGATTCAGTAGAAGGAGGACAAGGTTGTTTCCATTTTGTGATTCTCTTTTTCCCAGTGAGGTTAAAAGCAAAGTCATCAGTTGAGAACCAGAAGCAAGGAGGGGAGTGTTGGAGGCTTGATAAAAAAGGACTGAGAGTTGGAGGTGGGAAGTGGGCTTATTCTAGGAACATGGCAGGTGGGTCCTCCCTGCTCCCCAGAACTCAGGGAAAACCACCACCGTCCCCCTAATTCTTTGGTCTATGAGTGTCCCAACTTCTCTACAAATTCCTCGGGGATATCTTCATGGTCATCTCCACCTCTCAGAATCCAATTTCTCCCAGTGCTCACAGCAGTTATGCCTCTGAAACATCAAAAAAGGTCACACAGAACATCTATGTGCTAGACGTTGGCTGCAATTTGGCGTGGAGGGTGAGAGGAGGCAAGACTGACTCCATTTCTCAAACGTGGAGCACATCGGAATGGCCTGGAGGGCCTGTGAAAGTGTTTCTGGTCAGCACCCTCAGATTGAGTAGCTCTGATAGAGCCTGAGAATTGCATTTCTAACCAGTTCCCAGCAGATGCCGATGCTGCTGGTCAGGGACCACACTTAGAGAACCACTGGTTTACATAATAATCACAAAAAAATAATGACAAAACATAGGAGAGTATACTTTGCTTAAAATTTCACCAACTCCTCCCTAAACCCAATCCCGGTCTCTCCCCACCTTATTGCCTCTTCTCTAAACCCTTTCATTCCTCCTTGTTCCTATGCTCTTCTTGCATCCTCTCTTAGGAGCAGACTGTCTTTATTCTCTCATGCAGAGCAGTTCAGCAAGCTTTTTTATTTTGCTGTTTGGGTTCCTCCAACAATGAGACTTTTGGGAACTACACACTTTTCCAAGACCATTCCCTCCAGAAAAATTCTGGTGCCAGTTTTTAAGATAAGATCCTTTTATATTCTTATATTAATACTCACTGAGGGGCACCTGGGTGACTCAGTCAGTTCAGTGTCTGACTCTTGATTTCGGCTCAGATCATGATCTCAGAGTTGTGAGATTGAGACCTGCATCGGGCTCTGAACTCAGCGCAGAGTCTGCTTGAGATTCTTTCCCTCTCCCTCTGCCCCTCCCCCCACTCTCTCTCACTCTCTCTCTCTCTAAAATAAAATAAATAGTGAAATCTTTTTTAGGAATGCTCACAGAGATCTCCGAGAGAATGTTTATGAAATAGGAGAAAGACATCACCTCCTCACTTCATTCACTGTGTGGTTTTCCCTGCCCAGAAATTAAGGCATAAAATCCAAAAGAGGATCTGTGGGATGGACCCCCAACACACCCCAGTACACTGTATCCTGACAGCTGTTATGCTAATTCATAACAAGGGACTCACAGAGATACGGTCTGGCAATTGGATAGCAGGTAAAAAGAGAGCCGTTGCCCAAGTAGAAAAAATAACAAAGAGGAAATCAGAGGTTGACAAAATAGAGCAAGTTGAGCAAGATGCTGAAAATACTGCACACTTGATGTGGAAGTGAAATCCAAGGT